AAAGAGTGTGGTTTTCAGTTGGCCATTGATTCCTTGCCTTTTGGACTGACCTGCAAGGGCTAGAACCTGTAGGCTCACTTGTGTTAAGAATGCTGTATAGCTGGGATTTATCTGTATTGTTACATATTATAGTGCCTAAAGCTTTAGGCAGGATTTTCTAATTGAAAAAAAAAAATTGTGTTGTCTGCGCTGCCCCCAGGAAGGACCCAAGTCTCTGAATTGTTGCTTCCTTTTCCCCTTGCTTTGTGGGGAAAGTGAATTGCTTCCAACCTCCTTCTGGGGATGCAACTTGCTATTTTTCTTTTTTTCCACCTGTGCCTGGCTAAAATCTGCAGACGCTGAAGCAGCATCACACGCTAGCATCACGCACTTGCTCCAGGGGATGGGTGAGGGATTCAGGCACGCAGATCCTGGACACCTGCTCCTTTCAACCCTCTGGCAGAATGCAGGCAAGGTTAATACCATTGGGTAAGGACACGCAGAGATGGGAAGCTTTCCTTCTTTTCCTTTCTGTCATGAAAACACAGGAATGCAACTGAACAGCAAATTCTGCATACAGGGAAGTTCTGTTGCATTTGAAGGTACATCTCGCTTGGCGATCAAATATGGAAGGCATTTCACTTCACTGTCACTGTAGAAATAGGACGTTAAGATTTTTCTGGTTACAAATCTAGTTGAAAAAAATTTTCCTGTCACCATCTTTTTTACTGTATTTGAGGTACATTCTGTGACTATGCTGCCTGTGAAGTTTTGCCATGTGAGTTGGATAGCTTAGTTCTTTATATGTTAAATTACATTTTAGAAATTCACAAATCTGTTTTTATACTAAAGAATAAGGTTAGTTACACTGTCCATGACCTGTGAACTATTTTAAATTCCAGCTCCCTGTTGGAGATCAGCTTGTCAACATTGTCTGCCACTCATTTCAGAGTAGAAGTTGCCCAGAGATGCCCCATCCCTGGCAATAGTCCAGGTCAGGTTGGACGGGGCTCTGAGCAACCTGGTCTAGTTGAAGCTGTCCCTGCTCACTGCAGGGGGGCTGGACTAGATGACCTTTAAAGGTCCCTTCCAACCTGAACCATCCCCTGTGCAAATGACACAATGATTGTAATTGCAGAGGTAGTGAGAGGACAAAGACAAAAATGTTTCATTTTTCGCAAATCATGAGGACTTCTGTGAACTAAGACTTGGTGCAAATTGCATAGGTAAAATGTAGGGCGCTGTTGCTGAACAACTTGCTCTTCAGTGCCTGAGGAAGAAGGTGCGAATACAGATTTAAAACAGCAAAATGTAGAGACTCGTGTAAACTGGAATAACAAAAGTGTTTTCAGCTGGTGATTTGTGCTGTATGTCATTGTATGTGCATGAAATACACGGTGCCACACTTCCCCAAGTTGTGTTTTGGTGGTTGGGTTGCCTTTATCTGACCCTGCTTTGTGCTTTTCTGGGAATTTACAACCTGTAATATGTTGTAAATAATCTAGATGCTTATGTTTATAAAGTAGCAATCAGCAATTCATCACTTTACAATTCTTCCATGTAGCTAGCCTATTAAAGTGTAATATTTATTAAAATCAAAATCAATGTTGGAACTGCTTACTGAGATCTAAACACTTTGGAATCTTTGCTATGTTTGAATCTATAAAATGCGAATTAAAGTATTTTCTGCTGCAACTTTTTCTGAACATAATTTTTGGGTTTTCATTTGAAATTTTTTTTACTTTTCATTTACCTTTCAACTACACTTGGTAGAAATTATATATAACTTAAATTATTTACATGTCAGTAGTTTAAGCTTATGATGATGAGCAGGCTTTCATTCTCACTTTAATTCTGTTCAAAAGATTAATGTAACCTGTGCATCTGTTGCCGCTTACAGTGCATTGTAGTGTATCAGCACATCAGAAATTCATCTGGCAGAATCACAATATGTTTCTGGATGAATATGGCCAAATTCAGCCATTGTTTAAGTCCAATTGTTTTAAGAGGCAAAAAGGCTTATTTTGAAATGAAGTTTGGTCCATTCTGTGCCTTTCTCAGACTAGCTTATAAAATAATTTTGCAAGTATTTTTTTCTGGTTGGTTCACCCAGTGGGGCTCTCCATGTGAAATTATTTCCCTTAAAGGATTTCTGCAGCTGTTTGATTCTGTGTATGTATTTTTAACAAATTATCTTGCTAAAAATTTGATACACCTATTTCATCCCCAGTTTAGGTGGGTGAGTACCTGTTACACAGGTGATGATAATTATAGTGATTAATTTTAAGATCTTACCTTTCACATTGTTCTTTAAATCTCCCATGTTTGAGAGTATTTAAAACTCATCACTATGGTTGATTATAGTTGCTTGTCACTCTATTTTTTTGCATGGATACTGTGGCATAGGGATTAAGCTTGTTTTAAGCGCAGAATTCTCATAACTAAATTTTTGCTGTGCAGCTATATCCACTGTGAAGAAAATGTAATTCCTGCGGACTTTTCTTGCAATAGGTCTTCAGGCAGTTTTGTACAAACACAACTGTAGAACTCCAAAGGGTTTAATAAAATTTCTGTTCTTCTCTCAACCCTGTGGCACCGTTGTTTTTTTTGATCTCTGGCTGATAGTTTAATGGGCTCTTTTCCTTCAACGAACACTTGGGAAGAAACTAATGGAAGCTCTGGAGGGCAAAGAGTTTGTAGGGTGGGTTGTGCTGCTGCCAGAGGCAGGGCTTGTGCTTTGCTTTTGCTACAAAGGCCCCAGAAACCAAAAACCCTGTGGAAGACTTGGCATATGTGTGTGGCACAACCGTGCTGTCAGCTTCCAAGTGGACCTGGTCAGATCTACTCCTCATCCCTTCTTTTTTTCCTGTATATCCTCTGTGAAATGGATGCAAGAATTCTGTACTTCCTGAAGTGGAATATGAGGAAAACATCAAGCCATCACTGTCCACCATTTTGGAATGCTGTAATATACCTCAAATGAACTACTTCTGTAGAAGTAAAGATTACTGTAAGAAATATGTTTTTCTCCTGGGGAAATGTGGATTGAATTACAGTATTTGTTTCAGACTGGCAGGAGAAAGAGACACCGGGGGTGCAGAGTTCTTCACAGTACAGCATACCAGTCAGTATGGGGCACAATAAAAAGACCCAAAGTAGAGTTAGGGTTCCTGCTCACCTTAGATGGTATTAATTATCTTTAGGCTTGCTATGTGCATATGTCACATAGTAGAATGGTATTTATCCACTATTTCCACCACAAAGCACCGAATTTATCCCTGAACATACAAGGCTGAAGCACAGCTTTGCTGACCTTCTGCTAGTTATGCAGAATTATCTTCTAGGTCCAGTTGAGGTGGTTCTGCTTTATGTGTTCCT